TTAACACAGGCTGATGTTTCCACCTGTGGCTGTTTGGTGGCACAAGAACTGAGCTCAGGGATTTGTGTCCCATCCCCAGAGCACCAGAACGAGACATTTTCCCTGCTGCCTTCTCTGCAGCCCATTCCCAGAGAGTTTCTAACCATGGTTATTGAGTGGAACAAGAACTGAGCTCAGGGATTTGTGTCCCATCCCCAGAGCACCAGAACCAGACATTTTCCCTGCTGCCCTGTCCCCAGCCCATTCCCAGAGCATTCTGCCAAGGCAGGAACATTTTCCTTTAACACAGGCTGATGTTTCCACCTGTGGCTGTTTGGTGGCACAAGAACTGAGCTCAGGGATTTGTGTCCCATCCCCAGAGCACCAGAACCAGACATTTTCCCTGCTGCCCTGTCCCCAGCCCGCTCCTGGAGCATCCTGCCAAGGCAGGAACATTTTCCATGCGCGGAGCGGAGCTGCATGGAATTACCGCCAGTGGAAACTATGCTGCAAGAGGCGGCAGCAGCTGCCCCGCTCGGCTCAGCCGCATTTTCCATGCTCCCGGTAATTAGCAGGGGGAAGCTGACTAATTACTGACGTCACCTCTTTCCAGTGCCGCTCACATTTTGTTCCCAAGCACGCTCAGGAATTCGCTGTCACCCACGGGATGCTCGGAGAGCGTTTTGTCACCAGGGGCTGGGCTGGCTCCGCTTGCCTTGGCTGCGCTTTATAAGCGCTGCGAGCGGCGGCCGCGGCTCCCGAGCGGGGACCGCCCCGAAAATGCATTTCCGAAACTTCCACTACAGCTTCGGCTCGCTCGTCGCCTGCCTGCCCGATGGGCAGCTCTTCACCCAGCCTGAAAGCAGGGTACGTTCGGGTTCTTGGGGTTCCGCTGGCAGCGCCGCTCCGGAGGAGTTTGCTGGGTGTGTGCTGAGTCCCAGGACTGAGGAGAACTGAGAGTCTGACTCCTTGTTCCTAGAGGGCTGATTTATTATTATATTATATTAATTCTGTTATATAATTAATTCTGTTATATTAATTCTATTCCATTCCATTCCATTATATTCCATTCCATTATATGAAAGAATGCTATACTAAAACTGTACTAAAGAACAGAGAAAGGATTGCAGTTTGCTGTGGTGTTTGCTGGGTTCCAGGACAGAGGGGGAATTGAGAGTCTGGCTCCATGTCCTTAGAAAACTGATTTATTATTATATTATGTTATGTTATGTTATATTATATTAATTCTATTATATAAATTAATTCTATTGTATTAATTCTATTCCATTCTATTCCATTCTATTCCATTCCATTATATTCCATTCCATTCTATTATATTAAAGAATGCTATACTAAAACTGTACTAAAGAACAGAGAAAGGATTGCGGTTTGCTGTGGTGTTTGCTGGGTCCCAGGACAGAGGGGGAATTGAGAATCTGAATCCACGTTCTTAGAAGACTGATTTATTATTATATTATATTAATTCTATTCTATTCTATTCTATTGTGGTAATTCTATTATATTAGTTCTCTTATATTCTATTATATTCCATTACATTCTATTCCACTCCATTATATTCTATTAAAGAATGGTTTACTAAAACTGTGCTAAAGAACAGAGAAAGGATATAGACAAAGGCTTAACAAGGTACTAATTAAAAACTCGTGGCAGATGGGCAGCTCTTCACCCAGCCTGAAAGCAGGGTACGTTCGGGTTCTTGGGGTTCCGCTGGCAGCGCCACTCCGGAGGAGTTTGCTGGGTGTGTGCTGAGTCCCAGGACTGAGGAGAACTGAGAGTCTGGCTCCTTGTTCTTAGAAGGCTGATTTATTATTATATTATATTAATTCTGTTATATAATTAATTCTGTTATATTAATTCTATTCCATTCCATCCCATTATATTCCATTCCATTATATTCTATTAAAGAATGCTATACTAAAACTATACTAAAGAACAGAGAAAGGATTGCAGTTTGCTGTGGTGTTTGCTGGGTCCCAGGACAGAGAGGGAATTGAGAGTCTGGCTCCATGTCCTTAGAAAACTGATTTATTATTATATTATATTAATTCTATTCTATTATATTGTGGTAATTCTATTATATTAGTTCTCTTATATTCTATTATATTCCATTACATTCTATTCCACTCCATTATATTCTATTAAAGAATGGTTTACTAAAACTATACTAAAGAACAGAGAAAGGATATAGACAAAGGCTTAACAAGGTACTAATTAAAAATTTGTGGCTGATGGGCAGCTCTTCACCCAGCCAGAAACAAGGGTAGGTTTGGGTTTTTGGGCTTTTCTGGCAGTGCTGCTCCAGAGGAGTTTGCTGGGTGTGTGCTGAGTCCCAGGACTGAGGAGAACTGAGAGTCTGGCTCCATGTTCTTAGAAGGCTGATTTATTATTATATTATATTATATCATATTATATTATATTATATTATATTATATTAATTCTATTATATTAATTAATTCTATTAAATTCCATTCCATTCTATTCAATTATATTCCATTCTATTATATTAAAGAATGCTATACTAAAACTATACTAAAGAACAGAGAAAGGATTGCAGTTTGCCGTGGTGTTTGCTGGGTCCCAGGTCAGAGGGGGAATTGAGAATCTGAATCCACGTTCTTAGAAGGCTGATTTATTATTATATTTTATTAATTCTATTCTATTAATTCCATTATATTGTATTAATTCTATTATATTCTGTTATATTATATTAGTTCTATTATATTCCATTATATTCCATTCCATTCCACTATATTCCATTATATTAAAGAATGCTATACTAGAACTATACCGAATAATGGAGAAAGGATGCAGACAGAAGGCTCAACAAAATACTAATTAAAAACTCGTGGCTGACTCCTCAGTCCCAGCACAGCCAGATGGTGATTGGTTATTGAGTAAAAACAATTCACATGTTGGATAAACAATTTCCAACCACAGAACACAGGAGAAGCAAATGAGGCAATATTGTTTTCCTTTTTCTCTGAGGCTTCTCAGCTTCCCAGGAGAAGAAATCCTGGGCAAAGAGGATTTTTCACAAGACATGACAGGGACAGTTTGCCATAAAAGTCTTGGAGAGTGTGCGGCAGGCTGCTCTGATGGGAATGATTCCAGCTCTGGGAATTATTCAGTTTTAGCTCTTTGTGGTTGGGAAAATTGTCTCAAGTTTCCCTCCAGACTCCTTGGACTGTGCGGTGTATTCTGAATTTTCAGCAAATATTTCATCAGTTCTGGGATGGCTGCTCGGGGCTGGTGCAGTCCCCATCCCTGGGTGTGTTTGACAAAGCCTGGGTTTAGTGCCAGGGTTTAGTTGAGGTTCAGGGAACAGAACAGGTCGGACTCAACGATCCCGAAGGTCTCTCCCAACCTTGTGATTCTGGGATTCTGTAATTCTGATTTTGGAGAAAAGGGCAGGGCCCAACTCGGAGCTCCTGCATGCTGGGAGTTAAAACTTCCCGTCAAGAATCCTCCTCAGTAAATATCCTTAATAATTTATTGTGAAATATTTTTGCCAGAGATTTTATTTCCCTCCAATGGGTTTTGGAAGCAGAGGTTGTTTTTGATGGAATATTTGGAATAAATAAGTAAATAAATGAATAAATAACACAGCAGCCTCAGTTTGTGTGGGAGTTCAGAGCTGCTCCATGCTGCTGTTCCTTCACTGATTTTGGCAGCAAGATCCACGAATTTGTAATCCATGTGATTCTCCTGGGATTTTTTTTCCTGATAACACTATAAGGAATCCTCTTGGGTCTGTATTTAGCTGATTTGCAATATAAAATAAAGAATAATGTAAATATAAAAGAATATAAAATACTTACCAGTCCTGATACAGTGAGCTGTTACTGCTAAGATACCTTAAGGACAAAAATAACTTTTTTTTTTAGTGTCATAGTGATAAAGTGATATTTCTGATCTCTGTAACCACATATTTAAATAAATTAAAGTTAAGAAAAAAGATTTCTGTCTTTAAATACAGAATGGGAAGTTGGAAATGGGATTTTTGGGTGTATTTTCAATGGTTCTGTCTCACCTTTGAGATATACCAAAGATGTATTTTGAGGCTCCCAAACACCAGCTCTTGTGGGGAGGGTCCTGCTCCTGTTTCAGAGCTCATTCTGAAGAAGTTGCAGAAGCAGAACTGCTCTGATTTTAAAATCTCTTTAAAATGGAATGATTTTATACCCAGCTGTGGTGAGTGTGTGAAGTGGAGCTTCTCAGGGAGGAGAATGAAATTCTGAATTAATTTCTGCCTTCTTATGAAATTTCCCTGCTTTTTTTTCCCCCTACTAATTTAAAATATTATAGTAAAAAACCCTCAATGGAATAATGTTTATTGTGGCTTTATCCTGAGTTTCTGGGAAGCTTTTAGGGAGAGAAAATAGCTGGAAATTCCCCCAGTTTGCATCCATTGGAATAAAAGCCTTGGGAAGGTCCAGAGCCTCCTCCCGTGTCTCTGGGATCCTGCAGGGACAGTGGAAGCACTTTCCATAAATTAAATTCAGAATAGCAGGAGATGTTCATGGGCTTCATTCTTGGTGCTGAGTCACTGCAGAAAATCACATTTAGCTGGAAAATCAGGATTTTTTCATGTTTCTCTATGAAAACTTCTGGTGGTTCCTTTGAAGTTTGCACATCTGGGCAAAGGCTTGGCAGAGGTTTTTTTTTCAAGGTTTTTGGGTATTAATTTTCTAAGAAACATTTCAATATCTTCTGTAGCTAAATTAGAGTGTCTTGTCCAACATTAATTTATTATAATAAGATAATAAGCGATAACATCATTTATTATTATTATTTATTATTATTGATGTATTTTGAGGATAGAGAGAAGTCAGGGATAAGGTAGACAACTTCATTCTAGAGAGAAAAAGGAAAATAAACAAAGCTGTTACAATAATCAATATTCAAGAGTGGTAATTTGCCTTATTAATAACTTCTCATTTACAATTAATTTCTTTTTTAGTGTTTAATGCTGATTTTCTCCTCTGCTCCTTTGTCTCCAGGCCAAGTTTGAGTCCCTGTTCCGCCCCTATGACAGGGACCTCACCTTCCAGTATTTTAAGAGCTTCAAAAGAGTGAGAATAAACTTCAGCAACCCTTTGTCTGCAGCAGATGCCAGGATCCAGCTGGACAAGACAGAATTCCTTGGAAAAGAGCTCAGACTCTATTTTGCTCAGGTAAAAAAAGCTGGTTGGGATTAAAGCTTTCCTTGTTCTGGCTGCCACAAATCCTCCAGCTGGTGTGGAGGATTTCTTTTTCCAAGCTGGTGTTTGGAAACCCCCAGTTTTGGGGTTAAATTTTGGGATTGGGATAAAAGGGTTGGAAAGATGATGGGAATTTTGGGAACTGAACCCTTTTTTTACACCGGGTTTTTGTGCTTGTTTCTTCTTGGTCTTCTCAAGTCATTTGCCTTCTTTTGTAGAGTTTTTCCCAAGTTTCTGGAAATTTGGGAATTGTTTCAAAGAATTTATTATCCCAGCATCCCAGAATTCCTTCATGGTCATTTTTTGTCAGATGAGTTCGAGAATCCAGGCTTGTTCCAAAGCTCCACACATTTGGAGGCTGTTGATATTTCCCATTTTTTTTAATAACCTTGGATGTGAATGAGAACATTCCAAGAATTTAAAGGGCTGGGGGAGGCCGGGTGGGTTCTGCCAGCACCCAGAGAGTCCCTGAGGGATCCAGAGTGTGGAGATGCCCATGCCAGGCTGAGAGATGCCCATGCCAGGCTTGGAGCTGCACATTCCCTGATGGAGCTGCACATTCCAGGCTGGAGGTGCTCATGCCAGTCTTGCAGCTCCACATTTAATGTTGGAGCTGCCCATCCCAGGCTCTCCCTGCCCATTCCAGGGCTCTGGAGCTGCCCATTCCAGGCTCTCCCTGCCCATTCCAGGCTCTCCCTGCCCATTCCAGGCTCTCCCTGCCCATCCCAGTCTTGGGGATCTCCACCAGAGCAGCTCTGGAGCTCCCTGCTCTCTGTTCCTGCCCAAACTCGGGCTCTGGGATCAGGCTGCTTTTTCAGCTGCTTTTCCAGCTGCTTTTCCCTCTGAAAATCGAGTGGGAAAATGAATCCAGAAGTGTTGGACACCCCCCATGATCCAGGTTATTTTTGTCCCTGCTGGAATTCCCTCCACTCTCACTTTTGGGAATGACTCCTGGCACCATTTGTCACAAGGCCTTAGAGGCCCTGTCCTGCTGGAGGTGTGGGAGGGCAGAGGTTTGGGTTTTAGGGAAGAACATCCCGTTGGAATTTCCATCAGAGCTGTGTCCTGGAGGTGTGGGAGGGCAGAGGTTTGGGTTTTAGGGAAGAACATCCCGGTGGATCAGAGCTGTGTCCTGGAGGTGTGGGAGGGCAGAGGTTTGGGTTTCAGGGAAGAACATCCCGGTGGAATTTCCATCAGAGCTGTGTCCTGGAGGTGTGGGAGGGCAGAGGTTTGGTTTTCAGGGAAGAACATCCCGGTGGATCAGAGCTGTGTCCTGGAGGTGTGGGAGGGCAGAGGTTTGGGTTTTAGGGAACATCCCGGTGGATCAGAGCTGTGTCCTGGCTGGTGCTGCCACCCTGAGTGCCGGGCAGGGCACGACAGCCCCGGGATGAGGGGATGCAGGGATGGAGGGATGTGGGAATTGAGGGATGCAGGGGTGCAGGCATTCGGGGATTCAGGAATGCTGGCACTGAGGGATGCAGGAATTCAGGGATTTGGGGATTCAGGCATTCAGGGGTGCAAGGATGCAAGAATTGAGGGATGCGGGGGCGCAGGCATACAGGGGTGCAGGGAGTCAGGGATTAGGGGATTCAGCTGTTCAGGGATGCAGGGGTGCAAGGATGCAAGAATTGAGGGATTCAGGGATTAGGGGATTCAGGGATTCTGCAGGCATGGGATTCAGGCATGCAGGGATTCAGGCATTCAGGAGTGCAGCCATTCAGGGATGCAGGAACTGAGGGATGCAGGAACTGAGGGATGCAGGGATTTGGGCATTCAGGGATGCAGGGATACAGGATAGAGGGATGCAGGCATTCAGGGATGCAGGGGTGAAAGGATGCAGGCATTCAGGGGTGCAGGCATTCAGGAATGCAGGAATTGAGGGATTCAGGGATGCAGGCATTCAGGGATGCAGGGATTGAGAGGTGCAGGCATTCAGGGATGCAGGGATTGAGGGATGCAGGCATCCAGGGGTTCAGGCATGCAGGAATTTGGGCATTCAGGGATGCAGGGATTGAGGGATGCAGGCATTCAGGGGTGTAGGGATGCAGGCATTCAAGGATTATGGGGTGCAGGCACTCAGGGACGCAGGGGTGCAGGGATGCAGAAATGTAGGGATTCAGGGATGCAGGAATTGAGGGATTCAGGCATTGAGGGATGCAAGGACTATGGGATGCAGGGATTGAGGGATGCAGGCATTCAGGGATGCAGGGATTGAGGGATGCAGGAATTGAGGGATGCAGGAATTGAGGGATGCAGGCATTCAGGGATGCAGCATTCAGGCATTCAGGCCTATGTGGATGCAGCATTGAGGAATTCAGGGCTGCAGGGGTTCAGGGATTCAGAGATGCAGGGATTGAGGGATGCAGGGATTGAGGGATGCAGGCATTCAGGGGTTCAAGCATGCAGGAATTTGGGCATTCAGAGATGCAGGATTGAGGAATGCAGGCATTCAAGGATTATGGGGTTCAGGCACTCAGGGATGCAGGAATGGAGGGATGCAGGCATTCAGGGGTTTAGGGTTGCAGGCATTCAGGGATGCAGGAATTGAAGAATTTAGGCATTGAGGGATGCAGGAATAGAGGCATTCAGGGATGCAAGGACTGGGGTGCAGGAATTGAGGGATGCAGGCATTCAGGGATGCAGGGATTGAGAGGTGCAGGCATTCAGGAATGCGGGAATTGAGGGATTCAGGCATTCAGGGATGCAGGAATTGAGGGATGCAGGCATTGAGGGATGCAAGGACTATGGGATGCAGGAATTCAGGCATTCAGGGCTATATGGATGCAGCATGGAGGAATTCAGGGCTGCAGGGGTTCAGGGATTCAGAGATGCAGGAATTGAGGGATGCAGGCATTCAGAGATGCAGGAATTCAGGGATATAGGGATGCAGGAATTCAGGCATTCAGGGCTATATGGATGCAGCATGGAGGAATTCAGGGCTGCAGGGGTTCAGGGATGCAGGAATTGAGGGATGCAGGCATTGAGGGATGCAAGGACTATGGGATGCAGGAATTCAGGCATTCAGGGCTATATGGATGCAGCATTGAGGAATTCAGGGCTGCAGGGGTTCAGGGATTCAGAGATGCAGGAATTGAGGGATGCAGGCATTCAGGGATGCAGGAATTGAGGGATGCAGGCATTCAGAGATGCAGGAATTCAGGGATATAGGGATGCAGGAATTCAGGCATTCAGGGCTATGTGGATGCAGCATGGAGGAATTCAGGGCTGCAGGGGTTCAGGGATGCAGCATTCAGGGGTATATGGATGCAGCATTGATGACTGCAGGGGTTCAGGGATTCAGGGATGCAGCATTCAGGGGTATATGGATGCAGCGTTGATGACTGCAGGGGTTCAGGGATTCAGGGATGCAGCATTCAGGGGTATATGGATGCAGCGTTGATGACTGCAGGGGTTCAGGGATTCAGGGATGCAGCATTCAGGGGTATATGGATGCAGCGTTGATGACTGCAGGGGTTCAGGGATTCAGGGATGCAGCATTCAGGGGTATATGGATGCAGCGTTGATGACTGCAGGGGTTCAGGGATTCAGGGATGCAGCATTCAGGGGTATATGGATGCAGCGTTGATGACTGCAGGGGTTCAGGGATTCAGGGATGCAGCATTCAGGGGTATATGGATGCAGCGTTGATGACTGCAGGGGTTCAGGGATTCAGGGATGCAGCATTCAGGGGTATATGGATGCAGCGTTGATGACTGCAGGGGTTCAGGGATTCAGGGATGCAGCATTCAGGGGTATATGGATGCAGCATTGATGACTGCAGGGGTTCAGGGATTCAGGGATGCAGCATTCAGGGGTATATGGATGCAGCATTGATGACTGCAGGGGTTCAGGGATTCAGGGTTGCAGCATTCAGGGGTATATGGATGCAGCATTGATGACTGCAGGGGTTCAGGGATTCAGGGTTGCAGCATTCAGGGGTATATGGATGCAGCGTTGATGACTGCAGGGGTTCAGGGATTCAGGGATGCAGCATTCAGGGGTATATGGATGCAGCATTGATGACTGCAGGGGTTCAGGGATTCAGGGTTGCAGCATTCAGGCATTCAGGGACACTTTGGGGTGCTCTGGTTTCTCTTGCAGACTTTGCACATCGGGAGCTCCCACCTGGCCCCCCCAAACCCAGACAAGCAGTTCCTGATCTCCCCTCCTGCCTCTCCTCCTGTGGACTGGAAGCAAGTGGAGGATGCCACTCCAGTCATTAACTACGACCTTCTATATGCAATCTCCAAGCTAGGACCAGGTAAGAAGGTGGGAAAACCAGAATTTTGGTGGAGGAAAACACCTCAAAACTTCCTGGATTTCTAAAACTTTTCCAAGAAATTTTTATTTCTGTTTATTTTTATTTCTGTTTTCTGGTTATTTTTCTTTCTATTTATATTTTAGTTCCATTTATATTTTAGTTATATTTATATTTTCTTTCTATTTATATTTTGGTTTTATCTAATTTAATTTCCATTTATATTTTAGTTGTATTTATATCTTGGCTTTATTTTATTTATTTTTATTTGTATTTTATTTCTGTTTATTTTTCTTTCTATTTATATTTGAGTTATATTTTTCCATTTATATTTTATTTCTATTTATTTTATTCCTATTTATTTTTCTTTCTATTTATATTTTCTTTCTATATTTATTTTCTTTCTATTTATTTTTATAAATTTCTACTTCTATTTTCTTTTATCATTTTTTTCTTTTTTTTTCTTTCTATTTATATTTTCTACTTATTTTTATTTCGATTTTTTCTTTCTATTTTTATTTCTGTTTTCCTCAGAGGAGTAAACTGCTACTGAGTGTAGGAGGAACTATCAGTATGAACTTAAAATTCTTTGCCATTTAAGAGGGATAAATTCCTGCCCCTCCTTTCCCTAGTGATTAATGATCACATCCTTGATTTCCCTTTTCTCCCATATTTTATATAATTTATCTATGAAAATTGGTGCAAATTAATCTTTCCTTAAATCCAGCTCAGATTTAACCTGTTTGGGGCAGTATTATTAATTTTAGGGGAGAGAAAAATGGTCACATTTAATAACATTGAACAGAATTAAATTACTCTTATTGTATGAGAATAATTATTCTCATTAATAAGATTAGAGAAAATAAAAACTGTCAGATTCATTTTACTGGAGAATTTTTAAAATTCCTATTCACCTCCCAACTTAGGGAATTGTAAAGGATGGAGAAAAGGGCAGGGCACAACTTTGAGCTCCCTCATGTTGGGATTCCAAACTTCCCATCAAGAACCCTCCTCATTAAATATTCTTAATAATTTATTATGAAATATTTTTGTCAGAGATTTTATTTCCCTGCAATGGGTTTTGGAAGCAGAGGTTGTTTCTGATGGAGCACTTGGAATAAATAAGTAAATAAATGAATAAATAACACAGCAGCCTCAGTTTGTGTGGGAGTTCAGAGCTGCTCCATGCTGCTGTTCCTTTACTCCAAGTTTTCCTTCCAAATTTTAGGAAAACCAAAAAGAAACTTTAAAACAAATATTTTAGGCCCTTCCAAGCATTAAAAATTTGTCATTTTCCCGTTCCTGAGCATTCCTATGGAATTTTCCCACCTAAAAACCCTATTGAAAATTCTCCATGTCCCATTTCCTAAAAAATACCCCATTGAAAGTCACCATGTCACATTTTGTAAAAAAGAACGATTAGAGATTCTCCATGTCCCATTTCCTAAGGAATTTCCCCACCTAAAAACCCCATTAAAAAGTCACCATGTCCCTTTTCCTCAGGAATTCCCCACCAAAAACCTCCATGAAAAAGCCCCCAGGTGCCCTTTCCTCAGAAATTCCCCACATGGAGCAGCCCCCTGGTGCCCTTTCCTCAGAATTTCCCCACCCAAAAACCCCTTTAAAAAATCACCATGTCCTCTTTCCTAAGGAATTCCCCACCTAAAAACTCCATTAAGACCCCCCCAGCTGTCCTTTCCTCAGGAATTCCCCACCAAAAACTCCATTAAAAAAGTCACCATGTCCTATTTCCTAAGGAATACCCCACCTAAAAACCCCATTAAAAAGTCACCATGTCCCTTTTCCTAAGGAATTCCCCACCTAAATCCCCCCTGGAGCAGCCCCCAGGTGCCCTTTCCTCAGGAATTCCCACCATGGAAGAGCCCCCAGGTGACATTTTCTCAGGAATTCCCATTTTCATTCCCATTTTTCCCCCCTCAGGGGACAAGTACGAGCTGCACGCTGCCACAGCCACCACCCCCAGCGTGGTTGTCCACGTGTGTGAGAGCGACCAGGAGGGCGAGGCCGAGGAGGAGCCCAAAAAACCCAAACCCAAAATTCCCTCAGGAATTACCCCCATAAATCCTCCCTGGAAAAGTCACCGTGTCCCATTTCCTGAGAAATTCCCCACCTAAAACCTCCATGGAAAAGCCCCTAGGAATTCCTGAGGCCCTTTCCTCAGGAATTCTCCACAAAAACCCCATTAAAAAAATCACCATGTCCCATTTCCTCAGGAATACCTCACCAAAAACCCCATTAAAAACCCCCCAGGCGCCCTTTCCTCAGGAGTTCCCCACATGGAGCAGCCCCCAGGTGCCCTTTCCTCAGGAGTTTCTCACCTAAATCCCCCATGGAAAAGTCACCCTGTCCCATTTTCCTCAGGAATTCCCCACCTAAATCCCCCATGGAGAAGGCCCCAGGTGCCCTTCCCTCAGGAATTCCCCACCTAAATCCCCCATGGAGAAGCCCCCAGGTGCCCTTCCCTCAGGAATTCCCCACCTAAAACCCCATTTAAAACGCCCCACGTCCCACTTCCTCAGGAATTCCCTTCCCAAATCGACTCTGGAGAAGCCCCCAGGTGCCCTCTCCTCAGGAATTCCCATTTTCATTCCCATTTTTTCCCCCCTCAGGGGACAAGTACGAGCTGCACGCTGCCACAGCCACCACCCCCAGCGTGGTTGTCCACGTGTGTGAGAGCGACCAGGAGGGCGAGGCCGAGGAGGAGCCCAAAAAACCCAAACCCAAAATCATCCAGACCCGTCGGCCCGACTACAGCCCCGCCTCGCTGAGCTGAGCCCGGCCCGGCGCCGCTCCCTCCCTCCGGAGGAAATCCGCCTTTGCAAGGAGCCTTCCAAGGAGCTTTCCAAGGAGCTTTCCAGGGATTTGCCGTGGGGAAGCGCCCGGCTGCGGGGGCACGGCTGCAGCAGCTGCAGGAGGAGAGCCCCAGGTTTGCTGCAGATAAAGGAATTCCCTGCTCGGTTTGGAGCCTTGATCGGCGTGCTGAGCGAATCCCCACGTGCTGGGAGCACAGGATGGGCGAAGGGGACAAACTGGGCTTACTCTGGGGGACAGTTCCTTGTTGTGACACCCCTGATGGGTGTTTGGAAAACCTTGGGATGACAGGGTTGGAGAGATGATGGGAATTTTGGGAATTTAACCCTTTTTTCTTACACTAGGTTTTGTGCATGTTTCTTCTTGGTCTTCTCAAGTCATTTGCTTTCTTTTGTAGAGTTTCTCCCAAGTTTCTGGAAATCTGGGAATTGTTTCGAAGTATTTATTATCTCAGCATCCCAGAATTCCTCCTGGATGTGTACATACATGATATATTTATATTTGGTTTTATTGGCACTCGTTTTCCAGCAGGATCCAATTCCTCCAGCACCTGCTTTTGGTGCTCTGGAAGTTGTGCTTTTAAAATTTGAACCTTTGGAATTCCTGCAGAGGGTTTTACCTGGCAAAGCAGTGGAAAAACGTGCAATAGGAGAATTGTTGGAATACAGGGATTTTAAATTATTTTAAGTTCAGGTAATTTATTTCTCCAATAGGATTTGTTTGGGAGCTTTGACTCGAGGGGTGAAAAAAGGACTCAAATAATGCTGATGGTGCATATTCAGAGCAGGGGGATTTTTCCAGTGAGAAAAAACAACTATGGAGAAACTTGAATCTGCGTTTTTGGTGAGTAAGGATTTGCTTGGGATTGGAAAATTCCACCCAGGCAGCAGTGAGGAGAGCTGGAGTGCCTTTTCCTTGTCCATTCCTACTCCAAGCTGCACACTTGGATCTTTTTCTACTGGTTTTGGATATCAAAAAATCCAAACTTTCTGAGCTTTGCTTCCAGACTCAGCTGGGATGAAATGCTTCATGCCAAGGAATGCTGATTTAAGCAATGGGAATATGTGGGAGAAGCTTTAGGGCTTTTTTTCTGGCAGTGTTTAAAGGCTCCTAAATGCAAATTTTGAAGAAGAAAGATGGCAGAAATATTTTAATACTGTTTTTTAAACTGGAGATCCTCACCTTGAAACAGGGGTCAGGATTTTTTTGGAGGAGACAGGAGTTGCTATCCCTAGGAGATGCCGCTTGGGGTCTTGGAAAAGGGATGTTGGAGCCTCTCACTGTGTTTTTAGGAATCAAACTCTGGCTCTCTCCTGGTTTGCCCTTGCCACAGTTGGTCTGAGAAGAGATTGAAGCAAATGTTGACTGTTTGACACCTCGATTTTTGAAATAATATTTGTTTTAAAAAGAGTGGAGCCATTCCAGGCCACGGTGCAGGGAAACAGGGTGTCTGGAAGGCCTGGAATTCCTGACTGGAACACAAATGAGGGCCTGGAGACCAGGAATACACTGAATTTCCTGCTCTGGCTTGGATTGTGATTCCCTGGGAACTGGAGCAAAGCCTGGCCCTGGTTGAGAAGAGCTGATTCCATGGATTGCTGGAGCTGCACACACAGGAAAATCAGATTATTCTGGGTTACCCTCAGCTGGCTCCACGTGCTGCATTCAACGCCCAAAAGAAAGGAATTGATGGAGGAAAACTTTGCAGGTTTGCCACAACTGCCTTGAAGCCTTTCCAAGACTTTTCCATGTTTCTCAAACAACTGCTGGACTTTGTGTCTCACCACATTCAGTTCAAAGCATTGGGAATAATTCCTGTCCTGTCCTTCTTCCATGAAAAATCAAAGCATGACTTTGGCAGTACAAACCCAGGTGGCTGCTGCTGTGTTCCCTCCAAAAGCAGAGCTGCTTTTCAGTTCTAACCATCAATAAATCTGATTTTTGTCATCTTAATACCTGACCCCTGCCTGAGGTGGGGACCATGGAAATCTTGGAATGCTCTCAGTGTGTTCCTGCTTGGATCTGCCACCTCCTGTCCCCATGACTCCAGTGTGCTGCTTGCTTTTTCTGGTTATTTTTGTAATGTTCCAATGGATGCTTAGTTGGTATTTTATACACTTGTATAGCACGGGGCAGATTGAAATTAAAATATTTTGTTGTCTTCTTGTAAATGTCCTGGTGTTTTCTGCACAGAGCCACCCCAAGTTCAGCACCAAAATGGGAATTTTCAGCTTCCAGAGGGGCAGAATGTTGTGCCAGGCCCTCAGAAATTGATGCCTTGAAAAGGTTTCCAACCCTCAGAGAATTGCGTGAGCTCCACATGGGAGAATCTGCTCATGAATGAAACCCTGGGGGGATGTTCCAAACCTGAGCCTCAAGTTCCTGATAAAGGTATCAGCATCTTCCTGCTCCAGAATAATCCCTGTGCATTGGTAATACATGAAACATTTCTATTAAAAATGAACAGTTTGGGTTCTTTTGCAGAGACGTTCTGGATTCCTCACCCCTGGAAGCGTCCAGGGTCAGGCTGGACGGGGCTTGGAGCAGCCTGGGATGGTGGGAGGTGGAGTGAGATGAGCTCTAAGGTCCCTCCATCCCAAACCATCCCATGATTTCTGAAGCTCCCGGAATACAGAAATACATCACTATTTAATGGCTTTACCTGAAAACTTTAAGTCATTTTGCTGCAAAAGGAATTAAGGGAAACCGTTTGAAGCTTTTGCTGTGTGAAGGGATGGAGGTCCTGTGATGGCAGAAAGGAATTTCTGGTGCCCAATTAAAGCCCTGCCTCATTAAAGAGGTGAAGGCAGCGACCTCAAAAGGACCAAAGCTGGTTTTTAATCAGTTTTGTTTTCCAGAGCAGCCCCAAGGGTGGAAACTTTGAGTCCATCAGAAGCTTCTTCAGTCCACGCTTGGCAGGGGTGGGGCAGGAATGAACTGCAGAGCTCTGGAGCCATTTGAACCATTTTTGAACCATTTTTGAACAATTCCAGCAGGGATTTTGCCCATGGCTTCATCACCTGCCTGCTCAAGTTTGGCTTGGCTTGGGGAACACAAGTTCTTTTTATTCTGCCTTGCCCAACACACTTCAGAAACATTTTCCAGAGAATTATTCCTTGCTAATGCTTTTAATAATTCATAATGGATCTGGGAAGACAAAACAATGATGAAGACATTCCCCAAGACACTGGTAAAGAACATTTTGACACTAAGCTTTCAATTAATACCAAATTTTCAGTGCTACAGGCAGTGAGGCAGGAGCACAGAGGCGACTCCAGTGACAGGGGACAGGATGGAGCTGGCAGGGCTGGATTTATCTTCCCTGACAACATTTCCATTGATAACAGGGAACTGTCACATTCCAGGCTTTGTCATGTTGAGTGCTGTGTGTGTTTTCCTGCCAGGAATTCCTTTTGTTTGGAGTTCCTTTGGAAATGGCTGGAAAACTCATCCTGGGAGGAGCAGCTGGACAAGAGGAGGCTCAGGGGGGACCGCAGTGCTCCCCAAAACTCCTGACAGGAGGGGCAGGGAAAGGAGGAGAGGGAATTCCATGGGCTGGAATTGCACCAGGGCAGATGGCTCCGGTTGGAGATTGGAAAATAAAATTTCCCTTCACTGGAATGGGCTCAGGGCACAGGGCTGGGCCCAGGTGGATCTGGAACGTCCCAGCAGGAGCCCCCAGAGCCCCCTGGTCCCTGCTCAGGGCAGGAGTTGTGCCCCCTGTGAGGGGAATTGCTGGGCATCCATCCCTGCCCATCCCTTGGCAGGGAGAAGAGAAGAGCCTGGGGCACTGAGAAGAGCCTGGGGCATCCACTGGCACCCTGATGGATGCCCAGGGCTGGAGATCAGAGCTTCCTGACGCCATTGGAGATAAATCAAGTGAATCATTTTCCTTTGTGGCAGTTTCTGAATGGAATTTCTTTCTTCGTGCCCCTCTGACGATCTGTGGGGTGTTTGGGTCAGAGCTGCCCAAGGGTGTTTGGGGTCCCTGTCCCTGGGAGTGCCAGGAGGGGTCTGGATGTGGCCTTGGGGTGATGCTGGTGCTGCTGGGGTGGGCCTGGATGCTCCTGAAGGGCTCTTCCCACCTTGAAAACCTGGGATTGAAGTGGGACCGAGTGGCTGGAGCTGAAGGATTTCCAGAGGCACGAGGAGGTGCCCATAGGTGGAGCTCAATATCCAACAATGGCATTCATTATCCCGAATAAAACCAGCTCTGGCTCCCAGCCCCTCAGCAGATGCTGGAAAAGATCTCTGACATCCCTGCCAGCATTCCATGATCCCACCTTTACAAACTGCTGCTCTGCATTTCCCTGTGGAAATCTCTTCTCTTCGACGGAGCACCCACAGAGAAAAGTGGCTGCGTCCAGATGGAAAAGGGAAATTTTGGGTGCCGCTTGTGGCTCTGTAGAAGTGATCCCGATCCCCAGGGTGTGTGAGATTTACAGAGCTCATCCAAATAATTCCCTGCTGGGAATCACTGTCAGGGTGGTGGGAAGAGCCCGGAGGAGGCTCCTGGGGGAGCTCAGAGCCTGAAGGGGGCTCTGGAAAGGAGGGAGAGGGGTTTGGTACATGGGCAGAGAGTGCCAGCACTCCGGGAATGGCTTTAAATTGAAGGAGGGCAGGGCTGGGTGAGATTTTGGGAATTGGGAATTGTTCCCTGGCAAGGAATTCCATCCCTGCATCCCTGGCAGTGCCCAAGGCCAGGCTGGACACTGGGGACAGTGGGAGGTGTCCCTGCCTGTGGGACATGGAAATGATCCTGAAAATCCCTCCCAGCCCAATTCTGGGGTTCTCTTAAGTGCCTTTCACAGCAGCGTGGGGTTTTTTTGACCTTTTCTAGGAGCTGAGCCGTGCTGGGTTGAGCCTTTGTAAGTAAAGTAAAATAATGATGCATTTATTGATGTGATTCGAGTGGGAGAATGCAGGACCTGCCTTAAAAAGCAGCTTTTCCTTCTGAGCAGCACA